TTTTACTTAAAATGATAGGGAATTGTGAAAAGTTGGGAGATGGCATTTAGATATCCATTCATCAGAAAGATTACGGCATTAATGGAGAAGTATGTTGGAAGGCCAAGCATGGAAAGAAATGCTGGGGTCTTTGTTGTTGATTTGGAGGGCAAACCGGTAGCTCACTACTATGATTCTGAATTGTCTTTGATATCGAGTGGGATCAAGATTCAGAATCATCTCTACTGCGGCTCTGTCAAGTACTCGTTTATCATTCGCCTCAATCTGGATCGCTATGCTGCTACTCATCATTCCTCTCGCAAGCAAAAGAAGTAAGAAGTAAAGGTTCAATTTCAACAACGTTCAATTTTAGCATCTTACTATGTCTCTATTTGGATTGTTAAAAAAACTGATCCACAATGTACATGAAATAATGTTGGAGTCGTGGTGTCAAAGCTGCAGCAGTGGCAGCAAATGGAAAGAAGTGATGACTGCACAGTAGTAGCAAAGTGACAACAGCATAGAGCTGCACATGGGCTACAAGAAATGAGAGCAAATTTCATCATTTTAGTCCATGTTTTAGGTAGTCAATAATTACTGTATTAGGTAGAAAAAGGAAGGAAGGAATTGAGATGGAAATTAAGAGAAAGAGAAAGCATGGTTTCTCCTCTCCGGTTGGATGAATGCCTACACTCTTCTATGTTAATAGCTTTATGTTCTATGTTATATGTTATGTTGTATTGTTTCTGTTATAAATAGCAGAATTTATAATAGTAGAATATTAATGGAAGAAAATGAGTTTTGATTTCACCAAAAGAGGGAACTTTGGGTGACTCCCCTCCTTCTCTCAAGTCCTCTCTCAATCCCCCCAGCTTTTTACCACCAAAAATCCAATAAATAAGCTCAAATTGCGGATCCAAAACATCTTTTGTAATGTTAAAAAGTAAAAACGGTTTTATTTCCTATTAACTTTTAGTTTAATTTTACACACTTTTAGACGAATGTTTCTTGTATAATTATAAGGACACTTATAAAATAACACTTATTTAATAATAAATATAACTTCTAGAGTTACATAGTGAATGCTCTGCTAATTAACCATTTTACATTGTTCATGAGATGTGCAAGGAAGTGATGGAACATATCTAATATTATATTTGTGGTTTTATTTCTCATGAGAAATCTCCAGTTTTCCAAGTTTTAAATATTAATACTTTTTATGGTCAATGTTAATAATGATTAATTAAAATTTGTGTGCATCTTCAATTTCATGATTTTAGAATGTTGGTACATGTTACATGATTCTAACAAACATATATTAACACATTACTTCAAACATTTGCGGTTCACTATTGAATTTAGTTGTCTCTCTTTGTAGTGGAATTAATAAAAGAAAATTTTATTTAATTGAGGAAAAAAAGAGTTATAGAGAGCTCAGAAATGAAATGTTGCAGGAAATTCAAAAATTATTGCTAAAAGAGAGACCTGGAATTAAGTTTACATAAAAAAAAAAAAAGAGTTTAAAATAAAACGAAAAAGACTCAAGCAGGAGGATAAAAATTAAACAATCATAAATTCATTTGGTTTGGCGGATCAAAAAAAAAAAAAATCATTGGGCTTGGCCAATCAAAAGAATATAAGCTCATTGAGCTTAATATGATGAAATTTATAAACTCTTACTCATTATTAAATTATCCAAAGAAGAACATTCCGTTCTTTAAAACTGAAGCATTTTAAATTAATGTATTTGAAATTGTAAAAATTTGCAAATAATACTGGGCTTATGTCAATAGTTATCCTCACTATTAAATATAGTAAAAAAAAAATTGATTCTGATACAAGTTTTTCAACTTAGATAAAAAGGAAAAAAAAATTGTCTCCTTCCAATTATGTATTTAAATTATTTAAACATTATTTCAATTGTAATTTAAGAAAATAAATATTGTAAATATTCAATTTACACTTGATTTTAGTAATTATAAAAAATTAAAAACAATAGAAATTATTGTAATTCTACTAAAATTGAATGAAAAGAATAAATGACATTTAATAAAAAGAATAAATAATTAAATTTAAATATTTCTTATTAAGAATTAAATTTATTAAAGGATTTGTTTATACTGTGCCATAAGAGAACAAGATAATGGTGTATTTATTATACTTTTTTTTATCATTAATCATGATTAATTTACATAGAAAAATAAAAAAATAAATTTAATTTTAACATATATAACACAGATATTTTTTATTAGATAATTAATAAAATTAATATCAATTTTTAGTTTTATTATGTATATTAAAAATAAAAAAATACAATAAATAGATTTTTATATTATATCTTAAAAACACGTGATAGAAAAATCATTTATTAAAATTAAAATTCATGAAAAATAATAATTTTGATGTCTAAAATGCACTTTTAACATTCAAAACTAAAAATTGTGATTTGTATATTTCAAGTAGATTTTACACATATAAGAACATTATTTTCTAAAATTTTTCTAATTAAAGGTATTATTTTTTTATTGAACTAATTAAGGTTATCACTTTTCAAAATTTCCTAAATAAGAATATCACATTTTCAATGTTACTATTCAAACATTAATTGAATGTCAATGTTGACTTGGCAAACGGATTCCATCTATGGGGCTCACTAAATTGCTGATGTATAAAAAAATTGATAAGTGGTTACCCTGACTTTGAGCTGATTTGGATAATAAAAATTCATGTTAGAATTCTTAATGAATAGTGTCAATACCAAAACATGTGGTGTCAGCACCAAACCTGTGTCGGGAATTATTTGTGACTTTTAGGAAAAATTAATTAAAATTAAGGTAAAATAAATTAGTAAACAAATCCTAAAAAGATTGAAGTAACGTACAAAATCGGCTAAATTTAATTTTTTATCTATTAATTATTACTTTTTTTTATTTTA